AGTCATTGATAAGGGCAGCTAGCTGAAGCAGAAAACAGAGAAGAAAAAAATGAGTGAAAGTAAAGTGAAACCATTAGAATTTGAACATGCTTTGTGCTTTCAAGAGTGTCAATCCTGTCACCTGTCCTGAAACAACCTTAAAGGAAAAAGTCGAGCGCTACGCCATAAAGTTAGCAACAAAGCACGCTTTGAAATCGCCATTTAAAACACTGCTCTACATGGAGGATGGATTGATATCATGAAACAAATGCGGTTTCATGGGGGCAGTAGGAGAATGAAGTGTCAAGACAGGCACAGAAAAATTATTTGTATGACACAGATGGTTCTCCTACCCACCCATATATTCACCATAATCACTCCAAAATTTCTCCCGCGTGTCGTTTTTCCAAGTTCGGTTATTTTTGCTCAACAATTGTTTCTTGGGAAATTAGCAAAGTTATCCATACCTGCCCAGGGGTTGTTATGAACACAATGCTGGTATCTTCTCCTACTACTTCCTCCACATTTTCCCTTTCTTTCTCATGTGGAATGACAAAAACTGGCCTAAATTCCCTGTTGCAATATAAAATAACAAATGCAATTCTACATTAATAACTTGCTGTCAACTCCAACCATTGTTACAAAAAAGAGAGTATATAAATATATAATATATAAATATTAAGTAAACATGCTAGCTAGTTCAATCTAAAATACCTTAAAAGATCCATAAAATTTCATACCTTATACCACGAGCTATTGTAGCCCACACTTTGATGGGCAGTAAGCTATCAGCATCCCCCTTAGACTGCATTGAGGCTTTCGAATCCGATTCCAACCCATGAATCACAATATATTTTCCTTTACTTACACCTGCATTCTGATATTTGGACTCTACAACCTGCTTTAGCTTCTTTGAGATTGATACTTTAAGTGGAGGCAGAGGTTGCCGTGGCACATCCCGCACCGGTCTACCCAACCAATCAACCATCTGGTGATACCTGAATGGACAAACATGTGTGAATCTTCTAGATAAGGAATCTAAAGGAAGTATCAAAATCATATCATAATATTTTTACCAATTCATGTTACTACTATCTTTGCTCAAAAGGAACATTCTCACTATTGTATTCAAGAGGTTTCTATATTTTGCAAGAAGTATCAAAATAATCCGTGATATGTTGTAAACTCACATGTTATATCCGCCTTCAGAGAGATTCATGCTATTTGGTGTAAATGTTTCAGATAGAAACAATCCAGCTCCTGCAGCATTTACATTTGGATAAATATAGCTCACCCGTTCTCGGGCTGTTGTCATGAACAAGAATATTCCGTGTCCGATCCCTGCTAGCTTGGTTGATAAGATCATGTCATAATACCTACTCTGTAAAAACAGAGCAGTGTGTTACAAATTTAAATAAATTAGGAATAATTATGAACTACTAATACACAATGCCTAACCAAGATTTAGCAGGATTCTTAAATTTATAGTAGGCCTGTAATAATCTGTTTTTAGTGTACTTGAGTATGAAAGCCCCTTTAGTCGATCTTTAATTGGTCCAATGCCGCATTGCAGACAAAAAAGGAAATATCATTCTTGATGATAACCTTATTTTCTTAATTATCTGTGATTCAAGAAGAGAGAATCATTTGGCTGCAAAATATGAAAATCCTTTATCTGCTATCCGAGAAGCAAAACCACGTCTCCTTCGAGAAGCTGGATAGAGAAGCTGGAGTTTCTAACACGACACTGTAAGAGAGCATCTCCAAAAAAAGATCTCTTTGGAGAAGCTCCACCAAACAGAAAGAACCATGCCATATAACTACTCTTATAACAAACACAATTTGGCTACATCACCTATAAAAAATTTTAACCCTTGACAAAATCGTGTTGCTGCTGTTTTAGCAAACTGATGAACATCTGCATTTTAGTTCATCTTAAATAAACTTACATTGAATTGTATTGGTCCCCTTGGGCTCATTACTGAAAACTTTAACGCTCATATGAATCATATCTCTTTTTAGTCAAAACAACTAATTCCTTTTTCATTTTCCATTCATGCAAAGCCATCAATGCTCTCTCTGTCTGCTCTTCTCATTATAGTCCAATACCTATACCTCTTGTCCTGTTTTCCACTTCACGTCAACTAAATGCTTGGGGCCACATAACTTACACTAATCATACCCAACCTATATGGGAGCACCACATTTTCCATTGAAACATGGTATAACTGCAAACAAATAGAAGAAAGACAAAATTTTGGCAAGTATATGCAGAAAGAGCCTTAAACACTGTATATCTTATTCAACATCACCCGGATAACATTCTATTTAAGCTCATCAATATCTATACAACTGACCGAAAAAAGAAATTATCAACTTTTAGATATAAATCAATTACGAAAATAGTTTAAAAGAACAAGAACAAACCAACCTTAAGAAGTCCAACCATGTCAGTGTACTCAGCAGGCTCAGGAAAATGATCATCAGGATCATAGACATCAGCCCATCTCACATTCTTATTCAACTCATAAGCTTGCTTCCCTCTGGCAGACGCCACTACATCCACTTGCACACCCGGGTACCGATCCTTGATAAGCTGGATAACCGGAAAAAACAGCAAGTTCTCATACACACCACCAGAAACCACACAGCAACACCTCCTAACATCCCCCCTCACTTTCAAAGCCAATGATGCAATTTCCACACTATACCCCATTGGGAACTTCAAGAACCCGTATGGATTATCTGGATTTTCGGGCGGTCTATCATCCTCTTCCTGCTTCCCCTCTGAAAAAAGAGAGCCATACCCCATGTCTGGATCCTCTCCATCATCAAAAGGGTCACGCCAGGGGTTCTTCTTTTTGGCATGTGTCTGAAGGTTTTGCCTTTTTGTGCAATGGGGGTGGTCTGATGGGCTGAAAAATGAGAGCTTGGTGAAATGTGTTGAAGGGAATGAAGGTGTGTTGGTGAGAAATGGTGAGGGGGGTTTGGGAAGCAGAGATGTTGTAGTGGCCATGAATTGTGGCTGCCAAGTTTCTCTTTTTCTTTCTTTTTTGAATTATTGTTATGGGGAATTAGCAGGACATAAAAAAACTTACTTATGATTTTGTTGTGTGGAAGGTAGTTGGATAAGTTGGGTCCACTAGTTGGATATGGGGGGTGTGATTCTTTCTTTTGGGCCCTCTCTGGACTGGAATTTGTTCGGAAATTGTTGGAATTTTCTAGGAAAATTTCAGATTTCCCCGGAAACTTCACAAATTCTCCGAACAACACTGATTTCTTATACTCTACATAATTTCTTCTCTGATTCAAAAATTAGCAGAGCATCTCTTTCTGGTATGTTATTTCTCTTTTTTCTCTTTGGGTTTACTTGTATGTTATGTTATGCCACTTCCAATACCTACTTTGATGAAGTAACACAAGCCCAAGATTTGCAATATGGATTCTCTTAGGCCCCATTTGTTTCGCGGAAAAGATTTGATAAGAAATAATTTCCCATGTCATTTCTAAGGGATAGAAAATAGAAAATTCATTTATCATATTTGGTAATCCTAGGAAAGTAACTAGGAAATACCACTTTATTTCCTTTCACATATTTGGTTTGTGTAAGAATATGTAAAACAAAATTTGTTCAATTTTCCAATTATACTTATATAAAAAAAAAAATTTAAAAATGCATTTAATGCTATATTGTAATTCTAAACTGTTAATTTGGACAAAATGGTTATGAAAAATGTACATTTAATGTTTGCTCATTTTTCCAAACTTTCCTATGAGGAAAAAAACAAAACCTGAGGGGAGAGGAGGGCTTCACTTTCCCCATACTTTCCCATGTGCTAGGCAACTATTTCCCATGCATGAACTTACTAAACATGGGAAAGCAAAATGCATGGACTTACCAAACATGAGAAAGCAATTAATTTCTCATTCCCAAGCTTTCTTTCCCATTAACCAAACGAGGCCTTAGTTGTTTTGCATTATAGTTTGCTGGATCCTCGATATAAAATGGACTGTGTGACATGTGTATAGAGGATATTTGGATGCTGAAGAGAAGAAAACTGTACAAGAGGATGCTTTTGTTGACATGTTTAAAAGTTTGATGTCACGTCTCTATCTCCATTACTTTTTGGATAATAAAGGGACCAAAAGTTCCAAGAAAGGAAATTTTTTTTATAGGGATTGAATGAAAAGGAAGAAGCTTCGAATGATCTGCACAAGTACTTGCGCGGAAGGACAGAGGATGATACTCCTCAATTCAATGTCTTAGATAATCTGCACGATGCTTACATGTATTAGTTAATCCAAAGTGATGATAATACTTGCTCAAATCACCACCTGAGGCCAATTACATTCACTCAAGTTTGCCATGGAGCTGGTGGACTAACAAATGATCATCTCACTGGATCCTTCCCTTTTCAAGAGTGCCGTGGCAGAAGCACGGGAAAAAGATCGCTGTTTCGAGTAACTGAAGAGAAAATGCTGGAGGAAGGATCCAACTTAGGACTAGAAATCTATGAATAACTTGTTTTTCACAACGATAACTAATGAGGTCATTTACATGTAAATTACTCCATTAGACTGGGCTAGCTCTTGTTCCCTATAGAAAATATATATTTGGGTCAGTTTTGTTTGCTCACAATTTATTAATGCAGTTGATTTTGTTTCCTTCCTCTCTTTTTTTCCCAGTTTCGCTCAACTGCCTCATTGTTTTCCCTTTTTCTTTTTGACTCAACGCAATGGTAGGTTCTATCAAAGACAATGTTCTCTTTGAAAGCCTCCTCTGTCTAACATTGACCGAGAAACAAACACCGACTGTCGTAGATTTCAATGGGCAAAAGAATCTCACAGTAGTTGAGATCCTTTATCAGCTTTTTGCTTTTTTGGTCGAAAAAGAACCTTTATGAGCTTAGTCGCACATCAACTATCTACACTCAATTCCTTTTTGGCAACTGAGCATCCTCTTTAGAGTGGATGCCAAATTTGGTAGGACATGTAAAAGAGAAGCACAGCATTTGCAATAATTTTTTTAGAGAAAAACTGTTCTATATTGCAGCTTAAATAAGTACATAATACAGTGTGTCACAATGATCTAGGAGTTGTCTAATACATTTTCTTGGCCATGCTTGAAGCAAGAATGAAATGATGGAAGCTACAAAAGCCGGTTTGGCTGAAATCAAAGGCCGGTTTCCAGATCAATGCCTAGCTGAATCGATAGCCAGGCACTCCAGTTTATATAAGCTGAAACTTGGAATCCAAGAATGGAAGAAATCTAGGCCCTCATCGAAGCGAATTCAAAAGTTGTGTCCTAATGTTGTATTTACACACACCTAATCTTCAAAAACCAGTCTGACCAAGTGAAAACCAATTCTCTTAATTGACTTCCACCATTCCTTTTCAGTAAGAATTATGTTGAAGTATTCTTCCTGAAATGGCTGCTGCTAGTGCTTTCGTGAAATCGGGATCTTTTGTCAAGGAAGAAGCCATCTGCTCCACCAAAAACTTTCGAACTTCCGGTGTTTCGGTTTTTGTTTTCGTACTTTTGGTGTCAGCACTGGACTTGGATTTGGTCAAGTCAAGAGTGATGGTAGGTCCGGATGAGGCAAGGGAGGTTGAGCAGGGGACTGATCCTAAGGTCATGCAGCGGTTTGAGCCTGATGTTGCTTCAATTTGAGAAGGGTGGGAATGATTGTGTTCACCTTCATAAGTTGCCACCAGAATAGATTGATCTTCAACACTTCTCTGCACCTGAAGAGCAAAAACCATGGACAAGAAGCACCTTTAATTAATATGGCACTTAAAAGGGGGAAAAAACTGAACAGAAATCCTGCTCTTAAAACCAATTAATTCTTCTGTTTACATAATAAGTTTTGAAGCATTAAGAGGGGGAAAGTTTTGAATTTGGGCTCACCTTCTTTTTGACAGGGCAGCTTGGAGCAAAAGAGCATTTGAAGTAAGCTCTAGGACAAGGATTATCTCTAGTAACTTTTTGGCCATACTTTCTCCATTGATATCCATCCTTCACAACCTATAAATACACATAAAATTTCTCAATACAAACCTTAAATTATTAACTAAACCAACAAGAACATTCCTCAAGGACTGATTACTTACCAGGCTTGTTGTATCTGATGCTTCGGTACGAACATAAGCCCTTGAAATCTTTGCCTTGATGTTCTCTTCCCTTGGTTTCTTGCAAGATTCTCCATCACTGGAGCTGCTCTCAGAGTTTCCATTCACTGCTCCATTGATGTTATTGTTGCTGTTGGTGTTGTTGTTGTTACTGCTTTCAGACTTTCTTTTCTTTGAAATTGGGCTAAGCTCCTTCTCTGGGTTCTTGCTCATGTAATCCAGCAACTGGTTTCTTAAACCATTGTAGCTCTCACCCATCACCGTCAACATTTCGGTTAGCTTCTTGTTCTCTGCACTCACCCGTTGCAATTCCTCCAATAGAGCACCACTCTGAGAACAAAACAAACTCTTTAGACATGCAATCCAATAGTTAATAAATCATTTGATATTTCATGTTTCATATTTAGTACTTTAATCATCCTAATTTGTAAGACGTCTGTCGAAGATTTACGCGCTTTTGATCCAATATGATAATAGCTTGAAAAATATGCTCCTAGACACATTAAATCCTAGACACAAAACAGAAGATATAGCCACAAAACAGAAGATAGAGAAGCTAAGGTGGAGAAAGAATTGAAAACAAACCTCTTCATCTGGTGAAAGCTGCCTCCCAAAGCCAATCAATATTTTGCTTTGCGCCTCTTTCTTGATCTGAGAACAACCAATCAACTTCTGTAAGTTCAAAGATAACTAGCTAGTAGAGAGAGAGAGAGAGAGAGAGAGAGAGAGAGATTAGATCTCTACTAAAAGTTCAGATGCATAAAGTTTGCACCTACCGGAGTATCATCGAAAAGTCGGAGAGGCTTGGTATTAAGATCCAAAGAAGTATCATCATATGCAGCAGATGAGTAGTCCATATCCTTATGAAAACAGCACTTGAATTCTTCTTTTCCAGAAATCCTCAACAGGAAGCAGGCAAATCTCTCGCCCCCAAGTATATTCTATATATACCTCCTGAATTTGACTTTGAAGAAGAAGAAGAAGAAGAAGAAATAATAAAATCACAAGGCAGAAGACTCCTTCACCAAAATCTTGACCAAGTTGTGTAAACTTGGGTGGATGAAGCAAATATATAGAACCAGAAAGGAAGCTGGGAAGAAAGAGAATGAAAGATAAAGATATAAACGAGTAGTCTCAGTGAAGAGCTGGCACGAGCCTTGAGTTCCATATATATACTAATATATATTTATTATAATAATAATATAGTGCTGTTTGTATATAGAGGAATATTATAAAGACTGCAAGTAGTACGACATGTCGGTCGTGAGGGTTGAATTTCTGGGGTAGAAGATGTGCAAAGTCAAGCACGCCATATCAAATTAAATAAATAAAATCATTTGAATTGTGTTATGGATTTAATTTATTTTTCAGCAAATGAAAGAATAGAATGGGGAACATAGAAGTTCTATATTGACCCGATGCTGTCTCTGTCATGTGTATTAATTATATTATATGTTTTTTTTTTTTATAAAATTATAGTGGGGTAATTGTTGGGCGGGGAGGGGCCTTTGCTTTATTTTTCTGTCACGTTTTCAAGTTTGAAACATTTTCCACGTTCCATGAAATGAAAACCATGTATTATTTTTACTTTGGATAACAATGTATATTCTATGTTTTGTTTCCCAAGTCCAAAGCTGTCAACGCGGCTGAAGAATTCCCAGATGAATGATATGACAGATACGAATTACATTCATCACTACATTAGATGTATTGGATTTACAGTACTTTCTTTCTGGGGATGATTTTTATCATGCCATTTTGACGACGGATGTGTTTTTAACGTTGAAAAGAGAAATATTAGTAAATTACACGTTACTTGATTAACAGTATTATATTCATTAAAAGGGAAAATTGTTAGGTTCTAGTTAAGTTTTGGCTTTCCTTGCCCCACTTGTTAGGTTCTAGTTAAGTTGAAGATCAGAGAAGGTTCATTCATTGACGATGTATTTCACCATGGGCTAAGCTGCAATTCATGATCAACAAAGGTAAATCACTCGCAAATATTGCATGGCATCATGTTTTTGAATATTCAGGGCTTTTTTTTTGGTACCTGGTTGATTAGTTGGTCGACTAGTCAAGTCTCCTCCAATTTACTGGATTTATTGGTTGGACTAATGATCCCCAATTTTTCCCCGTGGTGGATTTATGGGTAAACTTTTTTCTGGTGTTGACTGTGTTTGTAGTGTTCTTCATTCTCTGCTTGTTTGGTGATATTGAATGAATGCACACAACTTGCATAATGTAGTTGTTTCTAGCGCTCGGGCATCCTGAATTGACATATCCTTTTGAATATCTAGATTGTCACTTAGAATTCTTCTAGACTTGCAAATTAAATTGATTGTTTGATTGGAGATATGATTATTGTGTAGTGGCGTTCTTGAGTCTATGACTTGTTGTTGACTAGTCATATAGTAACTATGTGTTGTTTATTATTACATATAGTTAATGTTCAAAAAATCTAAAGTTCATTTTAAAATTAATACACATTTCTAATTGCTACTAAAAATTCCATTTCAAAATTTTTAAAATAAAATTAATGATTTTTTTTTCATTTAAAAAAAAAAAAAAAAAAATTTTTTTTTTTTTTTTTTTAAAAAAAAAAAAAAAAAAAAATTTTTTTTTTTTTTTTTTTTAAAAAAAAAAAAAAAAAAAAAAATTTTTTTTTTTTTTTTTTTAAAAAAAAAAAAAAAAAAATTTTTTTTTTTTTTTTTTTAAAAAAAAAAAAAAAAAAATTTTTTTTTTTTTTTTTTTTAAAAAAAAAAAAAAAAAAAATTTTTTTTTTTTTTTTTTTAAAAAAAAAAAAAAAAAAAAAATTTTTTTTTTTTTTTTTTTTAAAAAAAAAAAAAAAAAAAAAATTTATTATTGTTAATTTTATAAAAATTTATGACATTTTAAAATATGATTGTACGGAATGTCCAACATAAGCTAATGGAGGAAAAACACACTATGACTTCCAGCGTAAGCTAACAGAGGAAAAATACACCATGACCATTTTGACATTTATGCACATAAATATTTCTCTCCCACACTCTTTTTCTCTTCCTATAGTAAATTCCCTAACTTGTACGTGCTCATGCGATGCATGGCGGCTAGTGTTAACATATAAAAGTTTCCCTGGTGACATTACATGCCATTTTAGTCATCACATCCTTTTATAAAATGATTTATTAATCGTATTAAGATGTATAATAAATACTTTTAAGGTTAAAAAGTTAATGTCAAAGTTGGCTGCTAGCTCAACTCAAAACTCATGTTTGCAACGAGATGGTAGGAGTGTACAACCATCAACTTGGCATGCATACACAAAAGCATATGCTATTATTTTGGGGTTCCATTTCAAAAGGAGTAATTAATTAATTGCTAATCTGGATGGAAAATTGTTGAAATACATACCAAGGATTTTATCCAAAATTTTGACTTCCATATTGTACTGCAACTCAAACGAGACTCTTCTTAATCGTACCCATAGAATTAATTAAATCGCATAATGACGATTATGTGCTGATAAAAGCATGTGCATCAGCAGCAGTAAACTATTATTAGGAGTGTTTACTTAATTATAATGCCCATATGTATGTGTGTTAATAATATGCATGATGAATTTGAATTATATATGAATTAAGGAATATTATTTATGATGAGTGTTAAAGCATTCCCAACAAGTATATGGAATTGCCTTTCTTTATTTTTATTTTTATTCCTTTACTCGTTTTTTTCTCTTTTCTGAGCTCTTCTTTCTCACATGAGTGCATCTTTTGTGGACTTCACAAATGAGATTATTCCCTTCTCTCCTTCCCCCTTTATAAATTGTCAAGGCTTCAATTGACTTGCTATCTAGGCTAAAATCTAATTTCACCTAACGATAGGGGACAATAATAAAGTGACATTATTTTATGTATGGTTATTTATTATTATTATTAAATAGAGATGTTATTGACACTTCAAAATAAGCACCACACGTCCAGCTACAAGAACAATCTCCATGGACGACAAGACCGGTAAGACATGCTCAGCGCAAACCAAGGACCCGACCACCTCAGTCCCTTACGGTGCTGAACGTGTGGTGCTGATCATGTGGCGATCGATTGGTAAGATTTTATCGCTTGATCGACAATTGGAGGTTTTGCTATAATGTATTGTTTGATCTGGAACGATTAGACCGTTGCATGGATCCCATTATGAGATATGTTGCTCCTCATATTTCCATGAGTGTGTAGGAACTTATGGATCTAGAATCAAAGTTCAAATCTTCAGAATTGACGATTCTAAGATTAGGTTAATCGATCGCCACCCAATTGTGCGATCAATGACGATCTGACATTTGGATCGTGACCAAACCTCTTGAATGTGTTTAGTTGACCAATCAGAACCTTTAGGAACTTTCAGATCGAAAATCATAGGTCGTAACTAAATGATGGGCCCCACTGGCTTGGTTGATCGGATGTCATCCGAGGCCTCCTTAACCTTAGAGTACGTCTTACGACATCTTGTGGACAGATGGAAACCTATGAAAAATACCTAGTATACTCTAACTGAAGACATGTTAAGTATTTAGAGTTCTCATTCTAGTAATTGGTAGCAGATGGTCGAGCAGACTCTGTTTTCTAAATGAGGTTCTACCAATATGAGTTGTATATGAATGTTTGCATTTCATGACTATTGAGATTTCCTTGTTTTTAAGTGAAAATTCTTTTATATTTATGTGATAACATTTCATTGTTTCTATTGGTGATTTCTCTAAGTATGAGTTAGTTTGAGAATGCTTTGAAAAGCTTACTAAGGTTCATCATTATGAGAGTGCATTCTCGATATATACATAGAAAGCTTTTGAAGGATTTCATAAATAAACTTAATTGAGGGACACCCTTGTAGGGCCCACTCTATAGTACATTTCACTGATCCAAACCTTCTGTTTTGTAGATATTCATTCAAAGATAATCTCTACAAAAATTTATTTGAATTCGAAATTATTTGATCATTCAATTAAATTATTGAAAGTTAAGTACTTTATTGAAGTACTGTGTCTATTGATTTTGTCGGTCTCAATTAAATGCCTTAATAATTTTCAATTTGTCTGATTTTTTGTAAAGATGATCTATGAACAAAGACTTGAAAAATAAACTATTTGGATCGTTGAAAAAAAGTCGTGAAATACCTAAAAGGGTATCCCTCAAATAAAATTATTTGATGAATCTCTCAATGAAATGGATTTATAACTTATGTGTTGAGATGTGGGTAGGATTAGAAAAATGTGTTAAAGGGTTTATAAAAGGATTTGCCATTGGGTTTTTATGTACTTATGTTGAGTTTGGAGAAATGGTTTTAAAACCACCATAAGTACCCTTCCCAAATCAGAACAGCGATTACAGTATAGTTAGTCTTTGTCATAAAGAACAGATTCAGCGCTGCTTGTGTGTATATGTTTCACACAAGTGTAAACCTACAATTCTCTACTTTGCTTTTGTGAATGTGTTTCACACAAATGTATGATCTGCATATCCATGCTCTTCTTGTGGAATGTGTTTCACATAAGTGCATGACCAACGTATGTGTTTCACACAAGTTTATGACTAGTTTTGCATGTACATTCATCAAGCCTCCTTTGCACGTGTTAATATATTTGCCTGCATGTGTGGTTGCCAGAATTTTCCCCTGCTTACCTGTTCACTTTGTTTGCACATGTATACGGCCAGTTTTTTTCCCTTGCCCCAATTGCCTTCAGATATGGTGATGTTATTATTTTTCCTTGTGTGGGCCGTCTGCACATGTGTATGATTAGTTTTTCTCGTACATGTATAAAGATTACTCCACACATGTTTGGCCATTACTTTCCTCTGGGTTACTGGGTACTTATTGT